CACTTTTTTTCCTTTTTTGAATTAGTACTAGGTAATAAAATGTCTCTATTATTAGAATTCCCTAAAAAAAATTATTCATAGTTCACTTTTTGTTTGTTCTTATGTCCTTTACACTTATATATATAAGAAAAAAATTTGATGCACAAAATATTCTGTACGTAAAATTCGAAAAAAAAAGCATTTAATAGTTAATTTTACTGTTTAAATCCATAATATATTACTATCGTTTTAAAACTTTTTAAAAAAGAAAAAAAAACATATACAATCACAAGACACATTAGTGCATTTTGTATACACACTATATATGTATATTGTGTGTTGTAGGGCTGTGTATCGGTCGGTTTGGTTCGATTTTGAAGTTTATCGGGTTGACTTACTGGTTATCGGTTTGTAGAGATGCTAAACCGTTATAGAACCATTAAGATATTGGCTTGTCGGTTATTGGTTTGATCGTTATCGTTTCGGTTATCGATTTAACCGTTAAGATTTGACACAAAAGAAAAAACATTGAAATTCACTTAGAAACAAGGTGACAAACCAAATAAACCATGCACTTGAGTTCACAAGTTACATCTTGCTCAAAAGCAAATACTTTGACACTGTAGAATAATCAAGTGTTTGTGACAACCAAAAATAAAAGTAAGAAAATTAAACACCTAGTTGATGACTTCATATACAAAATGGTATAAATATAATTATTTAATTTATTATCGGATTATCAGTTAACCCATTAAGAAAAAAACTTTAAACCGTTAAGAACCAATAACCCGATAACAAAATAAATTAAAACCGTTATCAAAACCATTAAGCCAATAACCCAAAACTATAAATCAATAACTTTTTTATCGATTCGACTTATCGGTTTCGATTCGATTTTCAACAGTCCTAATGTGTTGGATGGGAAAGAGGCTATTAGGTCCATCGATGAAGTAACCTTTATCCAATCAATATTTATTTCGCTAAAAAATTATAATATATATATATATATATATATATATATATATTGAATAATTCTGACTTTTTGTATTATACTTTACTCCGTTATACTTGACTCCCCTAGTTGGTGACCTAATACATGCATGTTTTTGCATTCTGTATTTTATTTTAAAAAATTTTAATTATATTAATTTGACGTTTGGATATGCTTTTTATACGCCATACATTTGGTCACGTAAATAATGCCCATAAGGCCATAGGATAGACAATATCTAATTAAATTATCAAGGAAAAGTATAGCTCATTATTCTGAAATAACTAAAAAATATTTTATTCAAAATACTGTCATTTTAAAATTAAAATAGACTTTTTTTTGCACTTCCACCCTTATAATTAATTAATTAATATAAAAAGAGATTAATATAAAAATTAGCAAAAGAAAAAAATAGTATTAAATTGAATAAAAAGTAATATAGTCAAATTGTATATTCAATGAAACATTTTCTTTAAAAATAGGTAAAAGATAATCATGACAAATAAAATAGATTCGAAATTTTTTTGAAGTAACAAAAAAATTAGTGAAATGACTTTCTAATGACGGTAAAAAAATAAAAATAAAGAAGAGACGTTTCACATTCATATTTGTAATTATATAAGCATGTTTCTAAGATGATACCTTTTACTTGTATATTAAACATAAGAAGATAAAAAAGTAGAACCCACTTATTTTTTCTAAAAAAATATATTTTATAAAATATATTTTTCGTCGTATCAACAAAGTCTGAACTATAATTATCCCTTTTATTGATAGAGCTAATTATATTTCCTTTACAACAATTACACTATAATTTTCCCCAACTTGGAATTAAATTTGTCTTGCAATATATTCATGCACTTATTATGACTTTCTATACATTACCATATTTCAAGCCATAAAATTCTCTTGCTAACTTCATACACCTTGTGTGTTAATTACTTCTATTAATCTCTTTATATATATATAGGAACTTTCATATTAATTTTCGATTCTTAAATTAATTAAATTATTTAGTTAGGTATAAATATTTGACACGAATAAATATTATCACTAGCATCGCTCTCTTCACGTTTAAATTATGAACTGCAAAAGAAAAAAATAATTGGCAAGTGAAATGTATAATAATTTGTTTGTCTCGTTTAAAATTGAATTTTTTAGTCTGATCTAATTACTTAAATTAATTAAAAAGAAAATTTCAAGTAAAAAAAAAAGTAGAAGCAGGTATATTTTTAACGGCCTTTATTTCTAACATGAACGATACATCATTTTCCATCTCTTTACATGGAAAAGAACTTGTCAAATCTATGTTATTTTATGATAAATCACGCGAACTGATTAAATACACGATAAAGAGTTTGTAGTATTTCCTTCAATTGATCCAGCTTTTTCGACTATTTTTTTATTATGAGTAAGACAAGTTGGAAACAACTAGGTAACGTCGACGATAATAATTTGAGTATATTTATAAATTAACCCATAAAAAGATAATTCGATCAATTTATTAAAATGTAGTAAGAATTGGATGAGTTGGATTATGACCCGTTTTTTAAATTTATTTTAGGGATAATGCACAAGTAACCCCTCAACTTATGTCAGAAATTTCAGAGACACACTTATACTATACTAAGGTCTTATTATCCCTAAACTTATTTATTAATAATTTTTATCCCTTTTTCGGCTTATATGACATTATCTTGTGAGTCCAACGCTGATTGACTTTTTTTTTTTTTATAAATTAGTGCCACGTAGGCCGAAAAGAAGTGGAAAATTACTTATAAAATAAGTTCAGGAGGTAATAGTTACTTTGTATAGTATAAGTGTGTCTTTCGAGGCTTCTCATGCATTTTCTCTTTATTTTAATCCAAACAACTTCTAAGCATATCAATAATTTATATATTATTAATTTAACTCATTTTAATCTATTCAAATTTATCTCGCCCGTCTATTTGATCCCCTATAAGAATCTTTAGAAAGAAAAAAAAGATTTTTTTAAAAATATATTTTATTATTAGAAGTAGCCGCCTATAAAATCAGATCTTACTTCATCCTAATGCCTGCAAAAATAATGTTGTGATATATATATATATATATATATATATATATATATATATATAGCCTTTGCTAAATATAGAAAAAAACTATGACATAAAGTTTATACTATGAAGCAATATACATAAGAAAACTTTGCTTTTGGTCATTTCTTAATTATTAGTTGATCTTTAGAAAAGAAAAAAAAAGTGAATCCCACTTGCTCTATGGATCAAATTATTTGTTTATTAAAATATCCTCAATAAATATAACGTGAACAAGGTTTTGAGGGGCGATTGAATTTTAAACCGTGTTAATGCATATATTAAAACTTATTGCAATGTACATACCTTAGTACTAAACAAAATGTATATATTAGTTATACATAAATTGAAGTAGTTTACCATAAGGTACAAGTTAGTGGTGTAGCCACGTGTAGCATAGGGTGGTCAGTCAAACACCCTTCGTATTATACTATATATATGAAAAATTATACGAAATGTATAGGTCAAAATTTTATTTTCATACGTATATATTGATTCTCAAATATTCTTAATGAAATTTTCGACTTCACTAATAGTACTAGTAATACACAATATTAATACATGTATTTTTTCTAATGTATTCTACTAAATGACCCCTTAGCGCTCATATCTGAGCACTCACAACAAGGAGTTCTATACAAGTAGACATTAAGGCCATGTAGTGCTTCAAAAGGCCCAAATATTAAGGATGAGGCTTGAAGTTGATGAAGAGGAACAAGAAGCCCAAATGTGGCCCATAATCATCCAGCCCAAATGATTCATATTTGGGCCTGTTTTAAGTGTATCCGAGAAATGTATCAGTGCGATTTCATTAACTCGATTCGCCTAGAAAGAAGGTTGAACCACAAGGACAATCATCTATAAATAGATATCAACCCTGTTTTGCTACGAGAAATTGACGTCCTATCAATTGAGTTCTCTAGGTCGTAAGATCGTGATAGCAAGTTGATCTCAAATTTAACCACTGATTGTCAATGAAGTTGAAATAATATAATTCGATTGACCCTAAATCAAGATTATATTTATATTTGTAGATTTATCTCTTTTATAATTGTCTATGTAATTTCTTTTCAATCATCCATAAAAAGTATAATTACTTAAACCTGAAAAATAAGACGATTATATGTTGTAACAAATTAAAATAGATGTAAAAAATAAAAAGAAATTATACTATTTCTCTATATTAAAGTTATTATTTTTTATTTATTTAAAATAGCCCATTCAAAAAAAAGGTGATTTAAATGCAAGGATTAAACAGAACCAAACATCCTCTGCCCTACCCCATGCCCCCATTTAATGCAAAAGTATTAAAAGCTTCTTATACTTTTTTTCCGCTTGTCTCAAAATTATTTACGCCTCAAATTATTTATTGTATTTTTTAAAAATATAAGATAAATTTGTATTTTTCCAATTTTATTTGTAGTAGTATTCGATCTCAAAGACTATAAATATTTTAACAATAAAAAGATAATATATAAATAAAGTAAATATTATACAAAACAAGATAATATATAATAAGGTATAAATAATGATAATAATAATCAAATTCCCCCTAATTAATATATTTTTAGGGAAAATTACGATAAATAATTTGAGACCGATAAAGTATTTATCTGTTTTTTTGTTTTAAGTCTTTCTTACACATTTCCTCTACCTTCTTTAATATTTCCAACTCCTTTTCTAGTTGAGTAGTTGGCCAATTTAATGCTACTTCTTAAATGCACCAAACAATATTGTCATCTTCCATGTTATTTTTCCTATTTTTAAGATTAATTCTTTACCTCAAAAATACCTAGTCTTCTATTCTTCAAATATTTCTTCATAAAAAAATCTCATAACTTATAGATTTTTTATTTTTCCTTTTCACATATAGTTTATTTTGCTTAGTAAATATGATGGAAAAAGGGGGAAAAATAAAGTCAAAAGTCAAAATCAAGAATGGATGTTTGAGTTTTCAAATGGATGAATACACGAGATATTGGTGCGGTTCAATGAGAAAGCAGTACTTAAGAACATTTTTGAGTCTACTTTTTGATTGAGCCGCGCCAATATCACGTGTAGCTAAATCTTTAGTTGTCCATGTATGTATATATGTACTTTGTTCTACATCAACATCAAGTAGTGAAGTACAATTATTTTGCCATTTGAAGTAAAAATATATTCACTGGTAAAATTACATTAATTGATTTTTGTTGCTTGAACTATTTTTTCCATTAATTATGTGTTCTTTATGTCTGTTTGAAAATGTTGTGTTGGGCTATTCTAGAGTTAATAATGATTTCAAAATTATTTTATGTTGGTTCTTCTTCTACTTGTCCTATTCCTTATTAAGTGGTTGAAGGTTGACCACTTTTTTTTTAAAAAAAAATACGATAGTGTTTGAGACAGTTTGTGTATTTGAATTAATGTATTATATATGGGTTTTTACTTAAAAATATTAATGATTCGATTCGATTGTTATTTTATGAAATGTATATCATATTAATTTTTTGATTACTTTAGTTTGTACCACTAAAAAGACTTTTCAAAACCATTTGATTAATTATCCTAATTTTTCTTTGATATCGATATGATCTGATTAATTTTCAGTATAATGTAAGATTTACATGTAAAATTTACAAAACAATGTCACACATACTTGCATTGGACTTTGAACAAATTAACTCTTTTGGACATTTTTGTTGTTCAAAGGTGAGATGACTCAAGAAAATATGAAAGGGGAAAGGTTATATATATGTTGTTTGTTTGTGTTATTTGTATTATCGAATAACTCTAATCACCAGGTATTGACCATATCAAAAGAAATTATAAAGCGTTCTTTACGGATAAACTCATTTAAACTCCCTAGTGTTTGATAGTTAAAGAGCAACCACCCTACTCTCTTCTTTAGGTTAAACTTGTCAATATCTCCAAAGAAAAAGAGAGGTATTTAGAGTGATTTTTCGATTTTGTCATGTTTCGTTAGATCAAAAATTTTGAAATATATTTTTCTAAGAAAATAAATTCTTTGAAAATGAGATGAATGACTTTTCTAGTGGAATTAGACAATTTTTTTTGCCAAATGTCCTCTTAGGTTAATATACACAAACAAATCTAAAGAATAACCATGTAAATGAAAGGGCAAATGTATATAATGTACTTTTGAGTCTCCCCAACTACGGATTTAGCCATGTTAGGGAGCGTTTCACCTTTCAGTATGACACTTTTCGGAGCGAATTCAAATTCAACCAGACTTAAATGAGGGGAAAACAAAAGAAAAATAATACTATGTACCAAGATTTTCTCCATTCTCGGTATTTAAATTCAAAACTAAACTTCTAATTAAGGGTGGAGGGTTCAATTGGGGCATAGCGTTTTTTTTCACTCCTCAGATCTTTCACTTTTTTACTCTCTTGATGACTTGAACTCACAATTTTATGATTGAAAATGAAGGGTGCTTACTATCCGAGCAGCTTGTATCAGATGGGGCATAGTTATTTATGTTTGTATTGGAATTTTGTTCTTCCATGTGCAGCCTTATTTGTCCCTCCAACATTCCATATGTGTGTTTCCCTACCTATTTAAGAATCAATATTTTACTTTACACAAATGTAACATGTATAGAGGAACAAACATGTTTTAAACATTAAACATTAGTTGAGATGTCCAATAATACTAACATATTTGTTGAGCAATAATTCCAAAGAAATTTAGGATTTCATATTTATTTAATTTATGTCTGAATATATTTTGTAGTCGAATAAATTTTACAGTTTTTTTTTTACAATGTCGGTGTCTATAAGTTAAATCCTCGAACAATTCATTCCACTTGCATTATTAGAGATATGTACAATGATATGAGTTTATTTGTTACAAAAATGTAGTAGGTTTCCCCACAGCTAAACCTCTACAGGTTCAACTGAATCGACTGCTTTTCCGCTCGAACTATGTATACATATGAAGAAAAAAAAAGACAAAATGTATACATATAATACAATTACACTTATTTTCAAACCACTTACTCAACATTCTGGATTCTGAATTCGCCTTTGATCATACGTATAATATGTACTTCCAACCAAAAGAATGTGACATTTTGACATAGTGAATGTCCTCAGAATGCAGCTTTCCATAGTGCATTCTCTCCCTCGCCACAATGGCGATGGACCTCCTTCATCCTATCGACAGACCTGCATATTCCACTGCAGGTCCAGTCGAAAGAGGCAACACAAACGTTGCCTGCCTGTGCCTTCCATTCACAATCTGCATCGACAAGTACTTTTCGTATCAAATTTGATAACACAAAGATGAAACTAACAACGTCTCGTTAGACATCAACTCACACACGTGTATTACGCTCACTGAACTTTACCTACTATAGCAGTAAAGTCATGAAACTATTTTCAATGAAGACAAAAGATTGTAATTCATATAATCATTTAGTGAGAATTGTCCCAAAGAAATCCAACGAGTAACTAATAATACTGTTATACAGAAGAAAAGAAGAGGTGTGCTTTACCAGGTGGGGTTCCACAACACAGTCTACGATCATCGATATGCTGCACATCGAGTCCAATAAACCAAGCTCCCAGTGACACATCTTCGTTTGTATATTTATGAAGTACATGCCTTAACATATCAAGAAGAGTATACATATGTAAGAGGCTGCTCGGACTCATCAAAAATACTGAAGGGTGTATGTCAGATCTTCCAAAAGCTATGCATTTTGGGGGATTCAACGCGGGAGTGGAAATATTATTAGAGAGTGTGAGCAACATAGGAAAGAAGAAAAACTATGCTTTTATTCGAAATATATTAAGAAAAAGATACTTAACTGGTTTGCTGATATGTAAGTAGCTAAGTCTTTAGAAATGGCATATATTTGTCCAGTAGCATGACGAAAATACTTGTCTCCGAATTTCCAATATTCCGGTTCATGATACCTTACACCCCTGCCATTGAAAACAACAAAATGATCAAAAATGAAACTTCAAGTTTCAATTTTGCAGAAAAAATGGATGTCCTTACTTCCTGGAAAGGACAGGACCAGATTTCATGCACCCGATATATATACGTGGTTTTTTACTATGCCTTACTAATGTTTCCGCCAGTGTAGCTGCAACAGAAGTGAAAAATCAAGCTTGAATTTGCTGTAACAAGTCTTACAATCTCTATATAACATTGAAAAGTGATGGTTTTGGTTAAGTGTTAAGTATGTCAAGGCAGAAAAATTACGAAATATTTTGGTTACCTATATTGACATGAACATCATCATCAACCTTGATGTAATACTCAGCATCCCATAAGTTAACAGCTGTGGCAAAGTAAGTCTTCGTCTTGGCGGACAATTCAAGATAACCCTCAATATGATCCTGTTAAAAGGCAGCAGAGTGATGTATCGTCTTTTTTACGTGTGAATACATCAATTATAACATGTGGTTCACAAGAGTAAAGTGAATGATCAAAGGAAATGTGAGAGAAAAATATTACCAGACGCAAGAAATCACCGTGCTTTTTGTCCTCAGCTTCAATAGCTTTGTCTAATATGCCCCCTAATGTGGCACTGCAGAACAAATTTGTAGCTTTTTAGTCATGTTAAACGTTTATATTGTCTTTTAATCGAATACAAGAGTGCAAACAAGAGTTGATGCAGACAAAAGAGGATAGGATTTTATGTAATGGTATAGGGACAGACTCAACTTCAATTAAAGAGATTAAGAGGTGTTCACTCAGAATCTATGTTGCTCGGATACTCCAAAAATATCATTATACTCATGTCGGAAACTCCAAAAACGCCCACTCAGAAGCAATCATAAAGCAACAAAATTTTACTGAAGTTATTATAATCTAACTACATTATATAAAAACAATTCCGAGTAGAAAATTAAGAGATAGTGGTCTAAAGCACACCTGAATTACTACATTTTTGTGAGTTCCCTATCTGAACTATCATTAACGATGATGATATTTCGACCATCAACTCAAAAAACGATTACCACTATGAAGAAAAGGTTTAGTTAATTGAAAAGAAGCAAAATCCCCCACCTATGACCAATGACGAAGCGAATGATTATTCCTTTCTCTTCTTCCAGCTTCCTTCTTTTTTCACCTGTTTCACCATGTTAAAATCAACAATGTCAACACTCAGACAAAGCAAATGCCAGCATGAGACGAGTTAAGGCATAGGCAGAGTCATTAAACCTTGTGGCATCCATGTAGCGCGAACTGAATCCCTTCTTTTTCTGCTACTAAATGCAGTGTTTATTCCTACCACCATAAAATATTTTCTTCTTCTTCGTGATTCACCCTTTTCAATCTCTTCTGATATCGGAACCCCACTGAGAATCGACTCGTGAGCTGCCTTTGCTTCAGCCAACTCTATCTCCAAATTTGAAATGGTTTTATCTAATATCCCAAAATTATCTTTGGATACAAGTTTTACATCTTGCTGCTGCAACTAAACAAAAAAGTCAAGGTTAAGATGTTTTGTTGAGGTAAATAAACAGAAAATAAGCTTCAAGTTAGAATTAGGACTACTTACAAATTTTGTAATGCAATTCTCTGAAATTAATTTCAATCTTTCAGCTTCAACTGTAGTTGTTCTTGTAATTCCTTCTTTTGTTTCAGAAACTATCCACATTCTGCAATGATAAATGCTTAAATTACTGTCAAATAAACATTGAACAACAACATAACCGGGATTTTATCCCACAGATGGGGTCTGGGGAGGATAGAGTGTACGCATATCTTACCTCTATCTCGTGGACGTAGAAAAACTGTTTCCTAAACACCCTCGGTTGAACTAACACATACCAAAGTAGATTTAAAGGTAGAAAACAGAAGTAATGAAGATATCGCAAATCTACGATCAGACCTATCTATAAAAGTCAGTTTCTAATCTATAATAACATTTCACAATAACAGTCAAGTTTTTTTCTTGAATCGATTTTTCATGTTATGTTATATTCTCATGTTTTCTATAACAGTATTTCGCTATAACAAAAATTCAAAAGTTAGTTCATTCTGAATCACTAAAATCTAGCAAATCAAACAGAAAGACTTATGTAACATATCAAATAGTAAAATCCAATTGACCA